TGTTGTTTTTGTGCCAAACATATCTTTTGGAATTATGGCCAAATTGTTCAACCTTTGTTTCATCAGACCTTAACACATTTTCCCACATGCTTTTGGAAGACTTCAGATGTGTTTTCACAAAATTTAGCCAGGCTTGGATGTTTTGCTTCGTAAGAAAAGGCTTCCGTCTTGTCACTCTACCCCGTAGTCCAGACATATGAAGAATACGGGAGATTATTGTCACATGTACCACACAACCAGTACTTGCCAGATATTCTTGCAGCTCCTTTAATGTTACTGTAAGCCTCTTAGCAGCATCCCAGACCAGTTTTTTTCTTGTCCAGTTCTTTGTAATGTCACTGTTGCCCCATATTTTCTCCACTTGCTGATGACCATCTTCACTGTGTCCCATGGTATATCTAATGCCTTGGAAATTCTTTTGTACCCTTCTCCTGACTGATACCTTTTAATAGTGAGATCCCTCCGATGCTTTGGAAGCTCTCTGTGGACCATGGCTTTTGCTGTAGGATGCAACTAAGAAAATGTCAGAAAGGACCTACTAAAACAGCTGAACTTTATTTGGGGTTAATCAGAGGCACTTTAAATGATGGCAGGTGTGTACTGACTCCTATTTAACAGGATTTTGAATGTGATTGCTTAATCTGGAACACAACTACATCCCCAGTTATAAGAGGGTGTGCACACTTATTATGCAACCACATTATTTTAGTTTTTTACGTTTACTTCCCCCCTAAAAGATTTCAGTTTGTTTTTCAATTGAGTTTACAGTTTATAGCTCACATTAAAGGTGGAAAATGTTCTTAAATGATTTATCTTTGTCTCTTTTTTTTATATCTCTGAAACTTGACATTTACCCCCCTTCCTGACCAGGCCTTTTTCGTGTTACGGCACTGCGTTACTTTGACAATTGTGCTGTCATGCATAGCTGCACCCAAATGAAATATACGTCCTTTTTTTCACAGTAATTGATTTTTTTAATTTTATTATTTTTTGTGCTGTTAAAGAAAAAAGATCAACAATTTTGAGAAAAAAAACAATATTTTTGACGTTTTGCTATTAAACACGTCCAGTAAAAAAATTTAAAAATCAAATTTCGTCATAAATTTAGGCCAAAATGTATTCTGCTACATGTCTTTACTAAAAAAAATACCAATACGTGTAAATTAATTGGTTTACGTGAAAATTGTAGTGTTTACAAATGGCAGTATATGCTGGGTTATATGCTGGGTTTTCTTTTTTAAATATATTTTTACGCGTAATGGCGGTGATCAGCAACTTATAGCGGGACTGTGGCGGGCATTCTGACACTGGGGGGAACTGACATGGTGTTACTGACATCCCCAGCTACACCATACAGTGATCAGTGCTAAAAAAAAAAAGCACTGACACTGTACTAATGTCACTGGGCAGGAAGGGGTTAACACAAGGGGCGATCAAAGGGTTAACTGTGTGCTGTTTTACTATGTGCTGTGTCCATGTGCGTCACTATAAGCACACTGCTTTGCATGGCTTTGCTATACACAGCCATCCAAAGCAGTGTGCACGGACTGACAGGGAGGAGAACTGTTTTGTTCTCCTCCCCGTCGGAGATGCTCAGCAATCCCCAGGTGCCATCATGTTATCACTGCCTGGAACCCTGTGATTGACAGCTGCAGCCGCGAATGTGCCCCCCCTAACCAGAAATGCAAAATCACGTATATATACGTGATTTTGCGCACCTGTGCCGCCCTGTAGCAGTATTTCTGCTATAGAGTGGTCAGGAAGCGCTTACCAGGGGTGTGTAGATTTTTCATATCCACTGTACTATGATATTAGATACAATGGGGTTGACTTACTAAAGGTAATTTGACTGTACACTTTGCAGGTGTAATTGCACTCTGCAAGTCCAGTTGCTCTAGAGCTTAGTAAATGAGGGGAAGCACTGCTGACTTCCATCATCTAATCATGTTCAAACAAAAATGCTGTTTTTTTTTTATTTTCCTTGCATGTGATTGGGTGTTCTTTGCAAAATGAAGCTTCACCTCATTTACTTAGCTCTGGAGCAACTGCACTTGCAAAGTTCAGTTTATTTGCCTTTAGTAAATCACCCCAATAGTTGCTGTGTATCAAATAAATATACTGTATACTTCTTATGATACTTTTTCTGATGTTGAATTTCTTGCCAGGTGTCTATTTATAAACTTTTTTCTTGTTTAACATCAATAAATATGTATATGAGTACTTGATGCGCATGCATCTTTTTTTTTTGTCAGATTAAATAGTTATACAAGTATTCTCAAATGAGTTACATTGTAATAAATTATCTTGTGAATCATGTAGGCTGCTGGAGCACACATTAACCAGCTTACTTTAGCCTGTTCACATTGAATAGGGAAGTCTAATATTTGTTCTTAATGTTAAAGTGAACTGTTCCATTCCCCAATCACATACACCAATAGGCCATAACTTTATCACCACCCACCTTATGTTGAGTAGGTCCCCCATTTCCTGCCAAAATAGCACTGATCCATCAAGCAATGGACACCACCAGACCTCGGAAGATATGCTATGGTATCTGGCACCAAGCCATCAGGATTAGATCCTTTAAAGTGTTACTAAACCCAGGACCCTGTATTCACTAAATCTGGTCTCCCACAGTACACAAAGCATAGAAATGCAATTATTTTAGTAAATACCTTTTTTCATCAGCAGTTAGAGAAGTCTTGTGACTTCTTTCAGTGTCCAGCAGAGCATTGGTTAAAGCTTGTAGGAGGAGTTTGCATTCTCCCGTTTGTCCTATGAGGTTGCATAACCCCTGACCCTCTGTCAGGATAGCGCTGGTTGGCCCTTTGCTGATCACATGCACTCTCCCATGCACATGCAAGAAAACTGTCTAGCAATACCAAGCTGAGCATGTGCAGCTTACCCCCAAGGCTCTATTCTATAAGGAAATTGATTGGGGACAGTAGAAGAAGGGAAGGATCAGAAAAGACAGGATCAATCATCCTTTTTACACAGTGTGGAGGATTAAGATTTTCGGTTGGATTGAGATCTGGAGAATTTAGAGGCCAAGTCAGCACCTCTCAAACTCATTGTTGTGTTCCTCAAACCATTCTTGAACAATTTTTGCCAGTGTGGCAGGGCGCATTATCCTGCGGAAAGAGTCCATGCCATCAGGGAATACTGTTTCCATGAAAGGGTGTACTTGATCAGTAACAGTGTTTTAGGTAGGTGGTATGTGGTAACTAAAATCCACATGAATGGCAGGACTCAAGGTTTCCCAGCATTGGGAATGGCAGGTTTCCATAACATTGGCCAAAACATCACACTGCCTCCACTGTCTTGCCTTGTTACCATACTGCATGCTGGTGCCATCTCTTCCCCAGGTGAGCAACACACACGCCCCCGGTCATGTACATTATGTAATAGAATGTGTGATTCATCAGACCAGGTCACCTTCTTCCATTGTTCCGTGGTCCAGTTCTGATACTCACGTACCCATTGTAGACATTTTTGGCTGTGGACACGGGTCAGCATGGGTGCCCTGACTAGTCTGTGGCTGTGCAGCCCCATACACAACAAACTGTGATGCCCATTTTTTCTGCTTTCAACATATGAACTTCAGAGACAACATGTTTACTTGCTGCCTAATATATCTCACCAACTTTCAGATGCCATTGTAATGAGGTAATCAATGTTATTCACTTTAGCTGTCAGTGGTCATAAAGTTATGGCTGATTGGTGTATACATATTGATATCTTCATAGTCTGTTTCAAACACACTCCTTTTCTCAAAACCTGCTACCTCGTGAGACTAAACAGTGCTGTTACTGATATACAGATTTTAATGTTTTATTAAGCCAGTATCTAATCCCTCATCACCATCTGTAACCACTCCCCGGCTGCTGACTTAAGCAAAGAGCAGTGACAACTGTCACAGAAGGGGCAGGGGATGTCCGACATTCTGGCTGTAATGGCCAGCCAGGCATCACCTGTATCATGCTGTGTGGGACAAGATGGCAGCACCCAATGGGAGAATAACTGGGTCTCTGGGGGACACACTGGAGCTGGATTTTTTGTTCACAGATTATGCATCGGTGAGTTGAATAGTTTATATTTGGTTCTGCGAAAAATAGCGCAGGAAAATATTGGTTTAAGCTCTGCTCAACTCCAGATGTGCAATATCAAATAAGGAGTTCAATAGCACTTGAGCTTTAGTAGTAAATATAATTCTGCATAAAAGAAAGGCAGGGGAAATAAATGTAAGCTCTTGAAATTGTCAACATTTTTTATTGAATTTTGGATTGACTTATAAAGCCTACACTTTGCCTGGGTGCATCATGTTCTCGTAAACAAGAAAGAATTCTAGGAGCCTAAATAGTTACTGGGATTGTCTCATTTGTTGCTGTTATGGTCTGTTACATTTTTGTGTGTGTAGCACTTCTATGGTGTTTGCCTGTTACCATGACTTTGCTAGAAACTGTTGCACTTCAGTAATGTGCATTATCATGCATGTGACTGGATTGCATGAAAAAGTGCATTTTGTGTGTTGGTGTGCTGCAGTACCATTCATTCCTAATAGTAATCTTATTCCCCCCCCCCCCCCCCTTTTTTTTCAATTTGAATAGCATAAGGGAAGGGTATAACCTCTGTCAGTTTTTTTTTACATCCGTGTCCCATTGAGGAGATTTACTTTCACTTCCTGTCCCATAGCCAAAACAGGAAATGAGAGGAAATCCCTGCAAATTAAGAGAATCCTTCGGAGCACCCCAGGTCACTAGAACTATTGTCCCTTATGGAAGTATCCCCCTCTATTTTTCTGGGGGGGACAACCCAAAATGTGTGATTTTCTTTTGCTTTGATACAATGATAATGGTAAATAGGACAAATTGAGAGGGTGAATCTCCACAATGGGGGGCACAGACAGCAATAAATAAAAACTGACAGGCATTCTAATCCAACTGCACTCTAACTTTACTTTCACAAAATTCTGTTTGGCTGTTACAGTTTATTACTTTTAT